TATTGATGGGTGGCAAAAAGCAAGAACCGAGCAAAGCGCTGATCCCTCGCTGGCTTCACTATTCCCACGCGCAGCTGCATCTGCAGCCAGAGCCGTACATAGACCTAGCCAGGACCTGCAACTGCGCGACGACTCGACAGAGCTGGGGGCGGGGCGGGGGTGGATTCTGCCCCTGGCCAGAGGCCGACGCGACCACGGGTTTCAGGGAGGAGGCTGTCACTTTTCTGGAGGGCATGTGGGCGCCGGCACGCTGGCACTTCTGGCTTCCCCAGCCCACCTCTAAAGACACTCTCCAGGAGCTTGGCGTCACCACGGCTCACTAGGAAGGGTTGGAGAAGACAGGGCCTCAAGTTTGGCAGAGTAAGTGGAGGGAGAGGATTAGGGATGCCTAGCCCCGATAGCGGTTCTTTCGGTCACATCAACACGTGGTCGTTCACGCCAGGGTTGGTGAGCAAGGATCCCCTTTAAGTCAGGGTCCTTGGGAGATGCCTGAATTAACGGCTTTTGCTGTATTTTGAACTTAAACTTTTTTAAAATTACGATTAGTTTTGTGTGTGTGTGTGTGTGTGTGTGTGTGTGTGTGTGTGTGTGTGTGTGTGTGTGTAGTTCAGAGGACAACCTGCGGGAATCGAGTCTCTTCTTCCACCATGTGGGTCCAGAGACTGATCTCCGGTTGTCAAGTTGGAGGCAAGCACCGTCACCCACTGAGCCATCTCGCAGGCCTCTGTTTCCAACTTTTGTACTGGGCGTCTCAATCCTTACCCCGGTGGCTCTTCTTCTTCTTCTTCTTCTTCTTCTTCTTCTTCTTCTTCTTCTTCTTCTTCTTCTTCTTCTTCCTCATCTTCTTCTTCTTCTTTTTTTTTTTTTTTTGAGACAGGGTTTCTCTGTGGCTTTGGAGCTGTCCTGGAACTAGCTCTTGTAGACCAGGCTGGTCTCGAACTCACTGAGATCCACCTGCCTTTGCCTCCCGAGTGCTGGGGTTAAAGGCCTGCGCCACCAACGCCCGGAACACCCCGGTTCTTACTTCCATTGCAACCAAGCTAAGCACTGTAGCTCCTCGAATTCACCTGAAACAGTCTCTTAGGTCACCCTTGGGCGAAGAACGAGAGCGGGAACCCGGAGAAAGTGGGGAACAAAGCAGTCACCGGAGGAGATCCGGCTTCCCGGGGCTTCTGGGCCTGAGGTAAGGAGGTCCTGAGACACCCCACGCCCCGGAGAGCGCTCGGTGCTCAGGACTTATTAGTGAGGGCAGGAATAGGGCAGCGTGAAGGCAAAGCGCTGGAGACGGCACCCTCCTTCTGGGGCAGCTGGGATTTCGTAATTCTGGCCCTTAGGGCACACAGAGTGCTTAGCGGGTTTGCCAGAAGAGCACACAAGTCTCCGCCTGGGTCACCCTGTCCTTAGGGATCTCACTTCCCG